ACGTTAATGGCGATGGTTCCAGTAAGGCAATTGTGACCATGGTCCCAGTGAGGCAATGCTGACCATGGTCCCAGTGAGGCAAATACTGACGTTAATGGCGATGGTTCCAGTAAGGCAATCGTGACCATGGTCCCAGTGAGGTAATACTGACGTTAATGGCTTATGGTCCTAGTGAGGCAAATACTGACGTTAATGGCGATGATTCCAGTAAGGCAATTGTGACAATGGTCCCTGTGAGGCAATGCTGACCATGGTCCCAGTGAGGCAAATACTGACGTTAATGGCGATGGTTCCAGTAAGGCAATTGTGACAATGGTCCCAGTGAGGCAATGCTGACCATGGTCCCAGTGAGACAAATACTGACGTTAATGGCGATGGTTCCAGTAAAGCTCTACTGACCATGGTGCCAGTGAGACAATACTGAAGATGATCCCAGTGAGGCAATGCTGACCATGGCCCCAGTGAGGCAATGCTGACCATGGTCCCAGTGAGGCAAATACTGACGTTAATGGCGATGATTCCAGTAAGGCAACTGTGACCATGGTCCCTGTGAGGCAATGCTGACCATGGTCCCAGTGAGGCAATGCTGACCATGGTGCCAGTGAGGCAAATACTGACGTTAATGGCGATGGTTCCAGTAAGGCAATTGTGACCATGGTCCCAGTGAGGTAATACTGACGTTAATGGCGAAAGTTCCAGTAAGGCAATACTGATTATGGTCCCAGTGAGGCAAATACTGACGTTAATGGCGATGGTTCCAGTAAAGCAATACTGACCATGGTGCCAGTGAGACAATACTGAAGATGATCCCAGTGAGGCAATGCTGACCATGGTCCCAGTGAGGCAAATACTGACGTTAATGGCGATGGTTCCAGTAAGGCAATTGTGACCATGGTCCCAGTGAGGCAATGCTGACCATGGTCCCAGTGAGGCAAATACTGACGTTAATGGCGATTGTTCCAGTAAGGCAATTGTGACCATGGTCCAAGTGAGGTAATACTGACGTTAATGGCGTAAGTTCCAGTAAGGCAATACTGACCATGGTGCCAGTGAGACAATGCTGACCATGGTCCCAGTGAGCCAAATACTGACGATGGTCCAAGTGAGGCAATACTGACTTTAATGGCGAAAGTTCCAGTAAGGCAATACTAACCATGGTCCCAGTGAGACAATACTGACCATGGTGCCAGTGAGACAAATACTGACGAAGGTCCAAGTGAGGCAATACTGACTTTAATGGCGAAAGTTCCAGTAAGGCAATACTGATTATGGTCCCAGTGAGGCAAATACTGACGTTAATGGCGATGATTCCAGTAAAGCAATACTGACCATGGTGCCAGTGAGACAATACTGAAGATGATCCCAGTGAGGCAATGCTGACCATGGCCCCAGTGAGGCAATGCTGACCATGGTCCCAGTGAGGCAAATACTGACGTTAATGGCGATGATTCCAGTAAGGCAACTGTGACCATGGTCCCTGTGAGGCAATGCTGACCATGGTCCCAGTGAGGCAATGCTGACCATGGTGCCAGTGAGGCAAATACTGACGTTAATGGCGATGGTTCCAGTAAGGCAATTGTGACCATGGTCCCAGTGAGGTAATACTGACGTTAATGGCGAAAGTTCCAGTAAGCCAATACTGATTATGGTCCCAGTGAGGCAAATACTGACGTTAATGGCGATGGTTCCAGTAAAGCAATACTGACCATGGTGCCAGTGAGACAATACTGAAGATGATCCCAGTGAGGCAATGCTGACCATGGCCCCAGTGAGGCAATGCTGACCATGGTCCCAGTGAGGCAAATACTGACGTTAATGGCGATGGTTCCAGTAAGGCAATTGTGACCATGGTCCCAGTGAGGCAATGCTGACCATGGTCCCAGTGAGGCAAATACTGACGTTAATGGCGATGGTTCAAGTAAGGCAATTGTGACCATGGTCCAAGTGAGGTAATACTGACGTTAATGGCGTAAGTTCCAGTAAGGCAATACTGACCATGGTGCCAGTGAGACAATGCTGACCATGGTCCCAGTGAGCCAAATACTGACGATGGTCCAAGTGAGGCAATACTGACTTTAATGGCGAAAGTTCCAGTAAGGCAATACTGACCATGGTCCCAGTGAGACAATACTGACCATGGTGCCAGTGAGACAAATACTGACGAAGGTCCAAGTGAGGCAATACTGACTTTAATGGCGAAAGTTCCAGTAAGGCAATACTGATTATGGTCCCAGTGAGGCAAATACTGACGTTAATGGCGATGATTCCAGTAAAGCAATACTGACCATGGTGCCAGTGAGACAATACTGAAGATGATCCCAGTGAGGCAATGCTGACCATGGCCCCATTGAGGCAAAGCTGACCATGGTCCCAGTGAGGCAAATACTGACGTTAATGGCGATGGTTCCAGTAAGGCAATTGTGACCATTGCCCCAGTGAGGCAATGCTGACCATGGTCCCAGTGAGGCAAATACTGACGTTAATGACGATGGTTCCAGTAAGGCAATTGTGACCATTTTCCCAGTGAGGCAATGCTGACCATGGTCCCAGTGAGGCAAATACTGACGTTAATGGCGATGGTTCCAGTAAGGCAATCGTGACCATGGTCCCAGTGAGGTAATACTGACGTTAATGGCTTATGGTCCTAGTGAGGCAAATACTGACGTTAATGGCGATGATTCCAGTAAGGCAATTGTGACAATGGTCCCTGTGAGGCAATGCTGACCATGGTCCCAGTGAGGCAAATACTGACGTTAATGGCGATGGTTCAAGTAAGGCAATTGTGACCATGGTCCCAGTGAGGCAATGCTGACCATGGTCCCAGTGAGGCAAATACTGACGTTAATGGCGATGGTTCCAGTAAGCAATACTGACCATGGTCCCAGTGAGAAAATACTGGCCATGCTGCCAGTGAGGCAATGCTGACCATGGTCCCTGTGAGGCAATACTGACCATGGTCCCAGTGAGGCAAGGCTGACGATGGTCCCAGTGAGACAATATGGATGATCATTCTGTTGAGACAATACCGACTGTTCTCTTTGGAACAATACAGATGACAGTTCTTTCGAAGCAACAGGGGCAATTGTTTTGATGAAATAAAACGAACGATAATTCCAGTGAGTGAGTTAGTTTTAACTCCGCTTTCAACAAGGTGTCAGTTACATCATGATGTGCTACCTTGAAGTGAGAGGAAAGCCCAACGTTCACCACTTTGGTGAAACCCACGAGAACGGGTATGGTGCCGACAAACCAAAAACATAATCAGGGCGAATCTTGAATTCGAAACCACGCTCATAGGTTACTGGCACACCAAGGGGACGCAACCCTGTTCTGCGGCGCCCTACACGACTGGAGCCTCTTTGTCTTGTGAGAAAATACGGATGATTCAGTACTACTACTTTCTTTGTTTGTTTGTTGTTTTACGCCGCACTCAGCAATATTCCAGCTATATGACGGGGTCTGTAAATAATCGAGTCTGGACCAGACAATCCAGTGATTGACATCATGAGAATCGATCCACGCAATTGGGATCGATGACATGCATCAACCAAGTCAGCGAGCCTGACCACCCGATTCCGTTAGTCGCCTTTAACGACAAGCATAGTCGCCTTTTACGGCAAGCATGGGTTGCTGAAGACCTATTCTACCCCGGAATCTTCACGGGTCAGTACTACTAAGGGATACAGACGACTGTATTGTGAAATACGAGGGACAGCGTTTCAGTAAGGCAATACTGGACCATACTTAGTAATACTATTAAAGCGTGGTTCTCGTGGTTCTCGTGAATTCGAATTTAATGAAAAAGTATACACCAACGCTCAGAAGCCTGACTGTAAAGTGTAACCACAATCTTCTGCTGTCGCCACACTACTTCCGTTAAACACATCAACAAATCCATCCCATCCATGAATAACAGTTTCAGGGTGTTAGCATCATCCTTCCATCAACTTTCTAATCTGATGAAATCTCGGATGATTAAACTTATGTTTCTTCAAGACTTTGTTACGATTAGAACAGATTAATCTTGCCAGAATCACCCTCTACTCATTTTTTAAATTATTACACGTTACTGTGAAGATTGTAACCTGGCTTTATTTTATATTACATGAATAATCACTGCATTCTTTGAGAGATACTCTCAGTAAATTTAAGGAATTTCTTGAAATATTCTATCCATTTAGCTTCTTAAATCATGTCATCAATCCAAATCTTCCTTACTTAATCATGGTCTAGAATACGAAAGGGTACATTAAGGCCTGTTTTAATTCTGGTTTTATTCATGTGATTTTCAGACAGATGGAAAAGATCTTCCAATTAATTTGTATTAGTAGCAGTGTAAAGTGCATAGTGCAAGCTTTCATCCGCGCGTTTAATGCTTTCTTCGTAAATTCCATCAAATAAATTTATAGATTTAAAACAACAAATTGGTTTATTTCAACCATTCAATTTGGAGAAGCTTTTTAAAGTGCGGAGAAAATATACGACAGGGTCGACCCCCAGTGTTCGGACTTGAGCGAGAGTGCATTTGTGAAATTGGTTCAAATTGGATTGGTGGCCGCATATGTTAGGAAGACGAATCGATGGCCACCAGACGTGGGAAACGTTTGACAAGCACCCCACTCAGTATCAAAATTCCTCCATTAACTAAATTTCCCCCAGCAAAGCTTGCACGCGCTGCACGTGACGGCTATCTCCGCGGACGCTACGGTTTTTCCCCTGACGCCGGAATTGAGGAATTCTGTATCCCCTCTACGAAGAGATTTCATCCAACACATTATCTATATTAATATTGCAAACACTAAACTCTCCAATAAATGTCACATGCTTTTCCTTGTCTAGTTTCAATTTTCCGTAATGGCATCGGCAGGAAAAACCCGCCATTTGGGCTTATTGCAATCCGGTACTGTCAAAATTATTCCATCTAGCCTAAGCTCATCCCCTGATCCTGTGTGGGGATAAAAGCCAGGCCCTCAAAGCTCCGCGCCATACTAGAATTACTTGTTTTAGTGGGCAACATTCGCTATCATACGACGCAAGCACACTTATGTGTCAAGTTGTTTTTTTCTAGGTGAATATTTCACAGGTGTTCACCGGAGCGCTCACGATTACGCTACGGGTACGGCGTACTCTGCGACGGCGTAGAAGCTGCGTTCTCGCAAGTGTAACGTAACATATGTTTTGGGATGTTCACTGGCTCGGTGAGACAAGATTTGCTTGTGCTCTAGGGACCAGGCATATAAGCCGGATTTGTAGATGTCTGAAACCGTAAAAGTGTTGTGACGTAGCTCTCGAACCGGAAAATAATTTCATCAATTTTAATCAAGTTTCAAAAGGAGTTTTAATGGTGACATATTTTGAATTCTGGAAAGTAACAAACTTTGAACCACAATGAAACTAATCTCCAATGTCTTCTGGATATGTCTACCCACATAGGATATTCACCAGCATCCGAGACGCAGTCTCTTCTCTATCGCTGAATCGTGTTATGGAGAATATCACATTCAAACATGGATACATTCGACCTTCAGTGTCTCTCGTGCCCCAGGGTACGTTCTGAAGAGGAGTTTGGGGGAACAAACATACACAATCGGCGCCATAGCCGGGGCTTCGTTCAGCTGTACATGGGAATACCTCACCTGCCCGGTTACCTGGCTAGCTGATACATCTTACATCCGGGCAACTGAATACAGGTGAGTAAACTGTGACGTCATTTGCATTGTGCGGGCAGGGCATTTCTCACTTGACGGGTACTGTGTTTGTGATGTTGGATCACACTCACGGAAAATTGCTCAATATACGTACGTACTTTTTTAAGCATTGTGACGAATACAAGAACATTGTGTTTATTTCAATGTGATTGTGTTCAAGGGTTTATCAAATTCAAGCACATAGAGTCCCAATTAAAAATGGCGTTTTAATCCAATTATGCAAGAAGCTGTTATACTTTAAATCCTTTTGGGATTTAAAATACAGACCAAGAATATTTAGTGCGGTATGTGTTGTTTCGAAATTTGAATCATCAATGTATTTATCTTAATTATCAAACGATCACCAACAAACTTTAAATATTTTGAAGACATATATCTTCCCTCAATTTTTGATATACCTCATAGAAAACTTAACGTTATATTTGATTGATTGAATTATTACATTATATATCAAACTTTCATTTACATTTATGTTTTTTATAGAGATTAAAGCAGTAAAGGCACAACTACACGCATAAATTTGTTGAAATATATTTCAATTTTTCATAATCATCAACACTCAAATTGATCTAAATTCCTTTGTTGAACTTTGATAAACACATTAATGTGACACTTCTCTCTTTTTTAATGTTTTCAGATAAATCGATAATTATGAATATAATTACCGTTCAATACATACACGGAGCGAGGGGAATTCTAGTGACCCTTGATGGAGAGTCGTGTAAATATTGTTTCAAATTGAAGCTAAAGATAATAATTGTTAAAAGGCCGAATTCCATGCAAACCCGACTCACCTGGTATAGTCACGTAAACAAACACCTACTTCGGAAGGCGATTTGAAAGGAATAAATCAATCGGGAAAAATCATCTTTTCGCTGGAGCATCTATAATATTGTTTCCTAGGAATATATTTTGGCACATTTCTAATTGTCTAGAATATAACCAAATTGGAGTAAAGATACATTTGTTATTACTGTGTAATATCTATGGAATATATACATATATAGTAAATTATACTGAAATATAATCTCAACGAAATATTTTACAGTTGATAAAATATTTATTACCACGCTAGATGTCGGTATTATTTCTTTTTTTTTCTTTTTTTAAATTATTTGTATTAAATAGTATCTGATTAATGTTCAAAATTATATCAAATACGTTCATTCCATCACGGTAATATGTATATTCGTCATAAAAAGATCTGTAAAATACCCAATTATTTTGTTATCACAAATATATCAAACATTCAACATTGTAATAAAATGAACAGTGTAAATTTCAATCTTGTAAGTGCGTTTATTATTAGACTGATATTAATACGAACTAATGGTAATCTCGTTGCGTGTTTGCTACAGAGGACGACTGTGTCAAAACACGACGACCGACAACCCCCAGCCCCCGGGGACTATAAGCGGTTACCTGGGTTGACTTCATAAAATATTTAACTTTTAATCACTTAAAACAGTTTCGGTGGTGAGCTGTGTATCGATGTGTTTTACGTTGAACACAGACACAGAATAACCACAGAACCGCTGTTGATTTATTCATAACAGACGCCATGGATGATATTGACAACACTGATGAAACTCGTGAATGTCTACGACTTTCTTTATTACACAGTGATTACATCTGTACGTATCACAATGAGTTCTCTCCTGACACGCTGTACGCCCCATGTTCTCGCCAGCCTAAGGATAATGTTACAATTGTAACAAACATGTAAAAATTCTTCAGGTGATGTACATGTATTTACAACATAAAATGCTTCAGTTCCGATATGTACACGTATCTGGGTACACGAGCGTTGGTATTTACAAGTTGGTTGCTCAGGACCCGTTCATATCCTAACGATAAATCAGCTATAAAAATCTTCCCCGGCAGTTTAAGCAGTAGAAGATAGAACTTCACTTTTAGAACAGACTCAAATCGTCGCCAGTCAACTTTACCGTTATAATATCATATGTTTGTTTACAACAAAGGCAGAATGGGACTACCGAGACCGACATGAAAGGAAATGTACCAATTTATTTTGCAATATACAATGTACATGACTCCGTGTAAATAGCAGGGATGTTACTATAGTTACCGTTATACTGTTGTGTGTTGTATAAATGAGTGCAACAGCACAATTGGTGGATAAATTGTCTCTCACTTATTCCATTCTTCCTTGAATGTACAATGCAACCCTTTTATTCTGGAAACGCCATTTAAAGGACGATTAATGTTGATAAAATGTAAAATATATATAAAGGGGCATTACTCTCACACTTCGTTAATCCGGATATATGTATCCATGAATACTTCACTTGGGACGGTACGGTCCGGATTAACGGGATGATGTTGCAAGTAATTATCTTGACTGTATCACACTTGGGTGTAAATGCCACATGGCCAGTGATGCATATGTGTACAGGAACACTCATGATTTATTAATGATAAAAACAATGATTATGGATCTATGTATATGTTTATGGCATATAAAAAAGTTCCACCTACCCCATCACTTTCATGCCACGTGACTTCTCTGATACAAATCAATATTCATTAGTAAATTGCTATCCCGATCTGGTCCCAGCGTGGAACATCGCCCTACCCCTTCCCCATGGGAGCGTTAAAAATTGAGCTCGGCGTTCCTCGTGATTATCCGAAGTGCGCTTCATGTCAAATTATTCTTGAAAAAGAACTATTAGTTGTTCTGGATGCGTAATAATTACAGGGAATTTATCAATAAAACATCAACATGTTTGTTGTTATTTAGCCACATAACAGTATCAGTTTCCTTATCCCAATTGCCCGCAGTGAGGCTGGTAGTTATCTTGGGCTGGGAAATTCATAGAGCAAATTCATCGTTGTGTCAACTCCAGAAAAAAAGCGATGCACTTAAATTATACACTTAATGTTCCTAGGTTACAAACAGTATCTTCTCTTGTGATTGTAACTCCATGGGTTGTTTATACTTCTGAACTAAATTCGCTAAGACACACTGAGAGTTATTTCTGAAAAGGAAATGTCATATGGCCCAGGGTATCACGACATGTACAGGTATTCGCCATGTTGATAATTTTACTACAGTTTCACTATAGCAACTATATAATTAAGTGAGAGGGACAGTAATATTCATGAGAAAATATGCTTGTTTATGTCTATGTAATTTCAGGTAAAACGTCAAAAGTCATAAGGGTATTCATATCATAAGTGAAAATGTCTAAACAAGGGCGCTACAGATTAACATACTTTCAAATAACTGATACATGTTATTTCCAAATTTTGATTTCTACGTTTTTCTACATTTGATAAAAATACTAATTAAAAAATTATTCTATTCAGATATAAATGTACAAAATGATCAAATACATTTGAATAATCAACAAAGTGGCTTCTAATTAGCAGTGCGGTGGACACGACTGTGAAACCGAAATTAAATATTGCCATCATACATGAGTATTAGTCGTAAATCTTGACAATTGTGGCACTGTGTGGCTCCCGTTAGAGACAGCATATCGTTCTCGGTCGAGACCCATGTGGTACACTACCGCTCACAGCCAAATATGTCAGCATTACCGACAACAGGCTTGATTTACTGCTCGCCATCTCATTTCGGAATTGATTTACGGTTCCAACTTTTAAAACTACCAGTTTGTTTCTTGCCCAAGAACCACGGGCATCTTGTCACTTGCACCTGCGGCCCGCGTAGTTATTTCATTCGTTCCTCTTTCGTTCATTTCATATCTCTGTATCTATTGATTGTTCTGTCATTTATTGCTTGCCACCTTCACGTGTGTTGTCACGTTCTATATTTTAATTTTAAATTAACAGCAATGTGTTGTGTTTGTTACAATTTCTAATAAGACGCACATGCTCCATAATCATATATAGAATAAATAAATATTTCTGTTTTCATGTCAATTTCAAATATTTTGAAATATGTGTCCATAATAGGTTTGCTGTCAGTTTCACAATCATGTAGAACTACATGGCCTTCTGTTTCAAATGTTTTCAATTTTGTATGTGGTGTTTTTAATGTCAATTTGTTTGGAAGGTATGTAGTATTATGTATATTATATGATTGCTGTATAATGTCAAATGGCTTAGAATATATGTACTAACTATGTAAAATGTGTCTGTTTACACGGTTTGTTTCATGTCAGTTTCAAATCGTTTGGAATGTATGTCTACACAATTTGTTTCATGTCGATTTCAAATCGTTTGGAATGTATGTCTACACAATTTGTTTCATGTCGATTTCAAATCGTTTGGAATGTATGTCTACACAATTTATTTCATGTCGATTTCAAATCGTTTGGAATATATGTCTACTCAAATTTGTTTCATGTCGTTTGGAATGTATGTCTACAGAATTGTTGCCATGTCGATTTCAATATGGAATATATATTGGAATATTGTAATATATGTCTACACAATTTGTTTCATGTCGATTTCAAATCGTTTGAAATATGTGTTAGTGTTACTTCAAAGTCGTTTAAGACGGCATGTCTGTGTCACCTAATCATTGTCGTGTTATGTTCAACCACTTGTTAGCTCATTGCCATACACTTACAGAAACAATACATAAGTTTGTAACAACACTATACGGTTTGTAATCCAAATGTTTACACAACTTCTTACCCGTTGGTGTATGTTTTGAAATTATGCAACGGAAGGGTTTTGGTGATTTAAACATGAAATATACTGTAGGCATAACGCTATCGATATTCTGAAACCGTTACTATTGTGTGTGTGGCGGGTGCTAACGGTAGGACAGGTTACACCTTGTGCCATCCATCACTGGGTTTCAGTGATCCCTTCATCCCACTGCTATTTTGCCTTTTACGCTCAAATGAATCTGTTTCGACTGATAATCGAGACTGGTTATTCTCTGGCTTTGACGCTTTATATTATATTTGAATGTTTTAATAAAAAAAATAATGTGTTATTCACAAACGTTGTTAAATATGATCATCTTACATTCTAACGTGATT